TATTGTTCTTTGTTATGGCCCGGGGGGGGGGGGGGTTCCTGTGTGAGTTTTAATTATTCAAGAGAATAGCAAGTGAAATATATTATCTCATTTAATTAAGGGATCCCCGTAAATCATTTATGACTTCAGAGCCTGAGCGTACTGAAAATTTTAGTAAATTTGTTAAGATCAAATGTTATTATTACATGTTTTTAAGTTTGCAGATTGCATTTTACTTGATGAGATCTGGAATATTACTTACTGCGGTGGTAGTCTGTGCAGTCGCATCCAACCTGCAGTTACAAAGTGATTATCGTTTGAGAAAAGAAAAAGAAGAAAGTATCGTGGCCACAATGCAATTATAGACTTTTTTTAATTTGAAAATTTCCAAATATAGTGATAGAAATAGCCTCAGCGATTCAATCGTTTAAACCGCAATGCAACAACTATAATTATTATTCGTACAGTTTACAGGGATAAAAGGGTAAGACAATGGATTGAAGCGTGAAATCTATTATTAGCCTGCTTCTATAGATAGAAAATCGCCTGTGCGGGAAACAGCAAGGGTAACTAACATTTTAGATTCTCACGATTAATGTAATGAACGAATTAATCTAATGTGAGTATTTGGCGAAAAAATGAATAAAGGAGAGAAGAAGATTCATTTCTTTTTGTGTGATTCAAAAAATCACTACAGCATTTTTGTATTTAAGTAACAAGAAAAATATTTTCTTATAAATGTGAACAAACTATAGTTTAGGCAATTGTACAGTTATCTATTTATTTTAACAACGATTTTTCACTCATAGCCATGCTAATTATAAAAGTATTGTTTAAATACAATAAAATAAAACATTTTTTGTATTAAATAAATAAAACTTGATTTTATTTTATCAATACGCTAATAACAGTAATTATTTTGTATAGTTTTATTTTAATTTATTTTTTAAATATTGTTTAATGTGTATTAAAAAAATACAATAAAAACGTATATAATAAAATTTTATTAAAAATTATAAAATTGAATACATAAATGTTATTAAATATTATAAATTTTAATAAAATAAAATTTTATTATGTATCTTCTGATTCGATTTAAAAATTCAATTTTTAAATCCAACTCTTTCCAAATTTAAAGCAAAAGAATAGTACAATGAATTGGAAATTTATGTGCTTGTTTGGAAGGAGGGCAATAATGAAGCCATACTCAAGCAGTCCTTTTCACAGCTGTGCTCGTGCGTCGCCTCGTGTACATTTTGAGGGATTGGTGGAAATCAGAAAAATAGGTACAGAAATCATGTTTCCCTGTTTGGTTTTATCTGCAACCGCAATGCAAGAAAAGATACTAATCAACCTAGGGAGAAGAAGAAAAATAACCCTTTTAAATTACATATATCCTAATAGAGGAATGCAATTATCTGAAATGATAATAAATGTCTTTAAAATATTGATTACATTTTATTTTTAAAATTCTATAAAAAATGTTTTGATGTGTTTTTATTATAAAAAATATTTCATAGATACTTTTGAATGTATATATCTAGAGGTATATATATATATATAAGGTGATACACGTGATAGGTCGATATATAATGTAATAACTAAGGGAAGATAATAAAAGGGATGAAAAATATTTAATAATGGTTAACAATGTTAATGTGTTTATAAATTAAAATCATTTTATTATAATTTTGAACATGATATGACTTAAATAGTTAAATATTTTTAAGATAAATAATTTAAATAGTTAAATATTTATTTAATAAAATTTAGCACATAATTTTTTATGAAAACAAATTTAATAGATAAAAGTAAAAAATGATTTTAATAAAATATATTATTTTAAAAAATATATATATTTAAAAATATAATCATCGTAAATTATTTTAAAATTTTCGTGAAAATTCTTCCAAATGCTGCTATTGTGTTATGTGTTATAATTACAAACGGACAAGTTCTAATCTCATAAAATAAGGATATGTTGGAGGGTGTGATATATACAAAAGCTCTTAGCATAGCTTTGAGACTTGGAAGACAGAGACATGTTTTTACTCAAGGGAAAAGTTAAGCTGAATGCACTATTCAACAAATGGGGTGTCAATTCATTCATTATATCAAGAGCGTGGAGTTGGATGGAGACCAATCTTATCAAGAAAAATTCTTACACGTCTTTTTCTAACATTGGGAGTATCTGAAACTAGCGAAGACACCAGCCTAGCCCAGATAAAGATTGATACTGCACTATTATTATTGAAAATAATGTTAAATTGTGCATATGTACAGAGTTTGATGTACCTCTCGTACACGTCTGTTATTGGATTCAAATGCTATTTATATGTATTAAGTATACACACAACCTCTCTCAATCATTGCAACTATACACAGCTATGTTCTAAGTATTTTTAAACAAAACCCAGATGCATTTGTTGCATGTAGTTATATAATACTATAATACAAGGGATGCAATGCAACGATTGTGAGTAAATATTTTTCAGGCAATATTTGTGACAGATGGCAATGGCACTGCGATTTTAAGGTGGGGGTATGCGCATTTAAAGGCATACACGTGCATAGCTTTGAAGGGGGCCTTTATAGGTGTCAGGTGGCTTTTTCTACCACAACTTATCTTTCATGATAAGGCTACAGCATATAATCATAAGGAGCTCAAAAGACTAGTCTTTTCATTGGATGCATGTGGCCTCCGGATTTTCTGCCTTCAAGTTCCAGCAATCATTACACACTTCCCCTCCATCCATTTCACAATTACCGTACTTAAGTTTCAACTTGTTTAAAATTCAGTATCATACATTTAACCACTACATTATTTCCCTATGATATGATGGACAGCAATGCCAAAATTAACACCATGGTAAGAAATCACTTTATACTAGTGCAAAATACAAGTAAAACAAAAAATGAAAGAACTTCAAAGGTTTGAGCATACATATTAATTAATGCACCGTAACAGCTAGCAACAAGGGGATGCAAATCATGCATTATTTCAATCAATAGGGATGATGTGGTCAAGAAGAGCATGATACAGCTTTAAGGACAATAACATTTAGCAATTTGACAGTGGCAGACCAGATATGGTAGAGTTACCACTACGAGATCCTCGGGGGTTGTATTTATAAAGTCTCTTACTGGCACAAAACGAAAGTGACATTTCGATCAGGTCCAATCCCGTCGAGTAAAACTCCATTCACGCATGCTAGCACGAGCCATGATCAAGTTGTTCACTGTTCAATGCTAGTAATAATTAAATTTACTTTTGGATTTTACAGCCCAGTAATTGATCATATAAATTGATGACATATATACAGGCCATGAAAAAACAAATATCATTACTTCACTCATCCACAAATACAACGCACAACTAATACCCACTATTGCATCCGTTATGAAAGGTTTATTTATTTTGAAAATTAAATAAAATTGATTTTGTTGAAGTTAATTTTGAACCATAAGTGTTACATCAGAATGTGTGACACGGTGGGAGAAATGATTCTTAACGTTAGCCAAAGGGCACCAAGTCATAGCATCAACCACGGGATGAAATGCTAAACACTGTCCCCTAGCTACATCAAAGATGGAGTTGGAGGGACCAAATAAAAAGAGTCTAGTGCATGCGTGAGGTTTAGCTACATGTAATGTGCATGCACGTTTCTTCTCCAAAACCAATAGCAATAGCATTCACCATATATGGGGTAAAAAGAGTAAAATACATCATGCTCAAAACCTGTACGACCCAAGTCAAAACTGGGGCTGAGAAGTTACGTTTTAACAACTAAAGTTGAAGGACGATGACATTAAACAAATGATTGAGTGGAGTAGGGCAGAAAGACCTGGTGCACGGTGAGTCGGAAGTACAACATAACTTTTCAAAACCGAATTTTGATGAGAAAAGCTGTGAAATGCTTACTTCAATTAGCCTTTTAACGACAATGAATTATATAAATGGCCTGTCATAACTAGCAACTATTAATGAAAGTGACAGTAGAGATGACTTGCACGTTAAGAAGAAATATCTCAACAGCAAATCAGCAATGAACGAAAAACAGTAACATTACGGACAACTTCATTGTCTGCCTCCTAAAAGTAGTACAAACTAAAGAAACAATGAACTGCGAAGTCAAGAAAATACACTTACGTGCACATGCATGTATCAACTACCAAAGTTCTATCAAGTGTAAAGAAAAAAAACAATAAAAAAACAACAAAACTATCTTCTTTTTTTAAACTTCGTTGATATCATGAGGTGTTTGAAGCTTGTTTTGTTTACTGTATTAATTCGACAATGACCTACAAAATCAAGAAAATACATTTACATGCATATGCATGTATTAACTACTAAAGTTCTATAAACCAAGTTATAAAGAAAAAAGCAATACAACCATCTTTGTTTTGTAAGTATGGCCACTAAACCTTATTTAGCAAAACCAGCTTCAAACAATTCATGATTGTGGGACATTTGATATTTCAATCAGTATCATATCCTTATCAAACACTATTAACCTTGAAAGATACAACCGATGTTACAAAACTTCTGTATTCTCAAGATTGATTCAGACGCATGAACAAAATCAGGACTGCTAAACCCTGGCAACATACCCCGTTAGTACAACACCGGGAAGAATTAGTTATCACTACGATCGTGTTGCCTAGCTTGCTACAAATATATGTGTTAATTTTCATTCTTTTCTTCTTTTTTTATTATGTTTTCACTAATAAATATAAAAACGCTGACATTGTTTCTTTTACAAAATCTTGAAAAATAAAAATAAAATAAAATACGGCCCTTCTGAATTTATTAGTGAAAATACCCCTTTTAACTTAACTGGTGAAAAATAGTTCTACATATGTCCCGTTATCATCCATTGCTGATGAAAATCTTCCTTGCATTTAACTAGCTGATCATCCAACGTAAATTCCAATAATGTAGAAAGAAACACCTGCTTTTCATGTAAATTAGTCTAGTCTAGATGGTGAAAAATCATCAGGAATTTCGTGGTTATATTTAGAGTAATTTTTATTTAGATTCCAGCCCCATGCCAAAGATTAGCATATAAGGAGCTTCAAACTACCACTGAAATAACTCAACATTACATGAAAAGCATATCAAAGTAAGTTACGAACAACGGCACTAGCATATTCTACCAAAAAACGAAAATGATATCTAGTTAAATTCTACACACAATTATAATATACACCTAAAGTACAACACGTATAGGTTTTACTATCCTGTGTTTACAGCTATATCGAAAAGTTTCAATCAACTATGAGCTCTCAGGTGCGAGTTGAGGGTCCCAATTCCTGCAGCATAAACATAAGTAGAGTTATAATTGTTCAAAATTGTTCTTCATTCAAAGACATCCTCAGATACCTTACGCTAAGTCAACTGGCACAGCACATTAACCATCAAAATGGTAATATTAGCTGGTCTAATCTTCCATCAACAGACAAATCAATCTATTATTATATCGCATCCACTATTAAACTGAATCTCATTTTCAGTAAAAATTGACAAATCATAAACGAATATAATTGATATGAATTGAAGCAAGTAAAGTTGCAAATTAATGGATTTTATGCTGCAAAAACTATTACTTGGTGCAGAAGTTGAGCGACAACTTTGGTACACAGTATGCTTCACAGTTTCTGTGTGCCTCCAAGTTTGCTGATCCGAGAGGTCTATTGGAGGAAGATGACTTTCAGACCTTTGGTTTGCATTTCCTAAATGACCAGTTCGTTGATTAACTTGCATTGCCAACCTTCTAGTTGAATCATCCATTCCCATCATTCCACGGTCTGGCGCCAAAGGTTCTGTAATTCACCATAGCAACACTAAATCAATGAACAATACAATATGTTTGTCACAAATCATAATGCAATCAATAAGGAAGGGAAGATGGCTACAATTTTTTAAGAGAAACAAAAAGGACAAGGAGAACAAAAAAGAAGACAAGGCACAATCAAATTGAGATATATCATTAGAAAAGATGCAGTGTTAATTGTTAACCAGTGAAATAATTTGACACCAACATTATCATATCCTCTCATTTCATTTTCTTCTTTTTGCATGTCACAGCTCAAATATGAAATGTCTCAAGCAAAGATGACATCTTGGAGTATCATCGAGAGGACCTCAATGCAAACGCCTTCAAGACAAGGCATCAATTATGATAGGCAGCAGCAAGCAATTATAAACTTGCCTTGAGTTTTTTCCTCTTTTAAGCAGCTCTGACTAATTAATACTGCAAACTTTATTTTCATGACTTACCTTACTCAACGATTTACCTTTTCAATTTCTATTCCAACAATTAAAAAAAAGAACTTTTATAATTGGTATGCTACTTTATGTTCCCGCCTCCAACATTGATAAAGTGAACAATGAACCCAATAGTATGATGATGAACATGCTTCAAACACAATCACACATCAAAAGCCATATTAACGCTCAAATCTGATGTCTTCACAATTTGAACAAGTTGATTCAATTCAACTACCAAACTTCAACCGTTCAAAAGTTACTGTATAGCAGCTACAGTAACAAAGAAGAGCGTACTCATATTCTACAACGACAATTAAACTTGAGAACTACAAAAAAAAAAAATATTCAAACAAATGTACCTTGAGGTGAATGAGAAAGATGAAGCAGGGGATCATACATATAAACATCAGATTTGAGATACTCCCGAAGCCACTGTCTCTCTTTTGATGGCTTTTTCAAATCCACCACTGAAACATCATATCAAAGAAAACAATGAAAGAAAAAGCCATAGTAGTTTAAACAGAAAGAGAAAAAATGAAAACAAGAGAGTAAATATCAAACCTTTAGCAGAGGAAGGAAAGGCATTGGATGATAGAAAATCAGAGGGTAGAGAAGAGATGAGAGGAGCATACATGAAAGTATCAGAATTGAGATAATCAAAAACCTTTTTCAGTAACAATTTTCTTCCGCTGCGCTTAATGGGTTTCTTTTTTTGAATTCTTAGGCGCACTCTCTTTTCCATTTCTTCTTCTTCTGTGAAACTTGAAATGCAAACTTGGAGTTGGAGGAATTGTTGGACACTACTACATTGGCGGTTTGCAATCTTTGACAACGAGACACGTGTCCGATTCCGAGGAACCGCTAGTGTCACGTGTCATGTTCGTTTTGTTGCTTTGCGTATTAACCATGCACACCGGCGTTAGAGCTTATTGGGCCCTGCCCAAATTGCTGAACAACTTTTCCTGTGGGCCTTAAGAATATTTCATAAGCCACACTACAATAAACAATTTAGGAGGCCCAAAATAAAACAATAAATTAGCAAATACGGAAAACAACATGACCAGTCCTATCTTACTAACTCAGCCCAATTCAAAAATTAATTATACATATTTTAGAAAGTAGGCATTCACCACCAAAAAAGAAACAAAGAAAGTAGACTTTATGTATTTTTAAGACACGTTTTATTTATTATATGTCAGATTATGAATCTACCAGCTTTTATTTTTAAATTTTATATAATTTATTTTTAAAAATTCAAATAAAATGTGCCTCTGTCTCAGTGTTAGTTTCACATCTCTTCAAGCCTACAATTTATCTATATATAGTGTTACAATTTATATATTATATCCACAAATCAAATTGGCCTAATCTCATTTCATGCATTATTATCATTTTTTATCAAGTTGGGCTTAAGTTTAAACACAAAATCTTAGGTCATATACAACATTAAAATATTACAATCATGGGATAATCTTGAAAATAAAAACTATATAAATATATTATTAATTAATAAACAACAAAAATTGATATCTTTAAGTTGGAAAGTTCATGTAACACATTGAGAGAGAATATATTGAAAAAAATAATACTCTTAAGAATAAGGATTCAATTACATATTGCCAAAGTGCTTTTATATTGAAAAGTTAAAATTTTTATACAGTTTTTGTAAATAACGTCTTCCCGTGATTTTAAATATCTTTTATATTTTAAATGTATTAACTCCTTTATTTTTATTAAATAATTAAATATAATTTTTTATTTGTTAATTAATACTCTCTTTTTTTTTTTCCAACGCTTTAAAGTTTTGCACGGTAACTAAATAATATATTCAATGTTCTAATCACTTTCATCAAAATAAATTTTTTAAACCTATGTGAAAAAAATACATAATAAGAAGGTAATAAATAATAATTTTTAAAAAATTTATAAGAATTACTAATATCAATACATTTTATCATATTAAAATTTACAGTAAAAATTATATATAAATTCTTAATGTGTGTGTTGTTGTGCACAAATTAAAGATTTTTTTTTTAAAATTATCGTTAGCTGAAAATTTAAAAAATACATCATATACAATTATTTTATTTTTATTTAAAATTACATAATTAATATAAAAATTTATATACGTATTATATTTTTAACTTAATCAATTGATAGGACTTAATAATTGTTTTTTTAACATTTACATTTACCTTCTCTCTCTTTCTCTCTCTCTCTCTGTCTCTCTCTCTCTCTCTCTATATATATATATATATATATATATATATCTTATTATTAGTAATAATTTTAAAGCTTAATTGCATATTTATTTTTTATATTTTAATATAATATACAATTTTAGTATTTTTAATTTTAATTGTTGACATCTTTCTAATTTTTTAAATGTTTAAATTAAATTACTTTATCCTGAAATTAAGATTTTTACTTTATTTTACATGTTTAAAAATATATTTTACGTATTAATTTATATAAATTAATTAAATGCCACACTTCTATTATATTTTTACTACTTATTAGATAAATTTTTGGAATAGAATACTTAATTTAAGTATTTAAAAAATTAATTTTAAAGCATGATTGCATGTGAATGGAAATCCCTCTGCAGTCTGCACCTCCTTTGTTGAAAATGTTGTGTGAATCCAACGAATAACCACCTAATGACATTGGCTTTCCATAAATAATAATTGAATGAGTTATTAATACGGCGGTTTCCAAGGCAAATGCTACGAACCATAACATTCAATTAATAATTACTCTATCGTTTCGGAGTTGCGTGCAGCTGCACATTCCTTTCACTGCCGTCACACCCCTTTCGATGACAAATTAAATAACCATTTTTTAAATATGTATATTCAATTAAGAGTATTTATAATAACACAAAATAAATGTTGAAGGCAATAGTTTAAAAAATTATAAAATATATAATACTACCTATAGTTCTTTTTATAAGATGAAGCATTTTTTCAGTCTTTATTATCAAAAATAAATAATAAATTTAAAATAAATTAATTATTAAATTTTTTTATATTATTCTTTTATTAATATTATTAAATATATAAATTACTAACTATATTATTTAATATTATGTGTATTATTGAAATAAAATTTATATTTCTAAAAAATATAATTGACTTAATTATCTTTTTAGTTTTAGTGATTTAGTTTTTGTTTCTTATAAAAATATTCAAAGGTATTTTTTTACCATTTTTAATGCAGTATAACGTATTTTAAAACAACATACTCTCAATTCCTTAATCAAAGTTTTGAAGATCTCGTTAGTAAATTTAATATCTATTTAAAATTATAAATTTAATATTAATTTGCGTCCGACCCATTTTGCCCTCCATTCTAAGTTTTTTAAGGTTACACGACTCTTAATAAATAAAACCAGGATTAAATTTTTATTAGCTTATTTTATTAATAACTAAATTCTAACTACATTTTTAGAAATTAATTATAAAAATACTAACTTTTATAAATAAAAAAAAATTATTTAAGTACAAAAAATAATTTGTGTATTGTTACATTATTAATTAATTAAAATAAATCATAAACATAACTTTTGTATTAATTATTATAAAAAATAATTATTCTGTCTTATATCACAAGTCATGTTTAGAAGATACTGTAAAAAATATATATTATTAGTGTATTTAAATTAAATTAAAATATACTCTAAAAATATAACATTGAAAAAATGGTTGGAAGAAAATAAAAGTGAGTTAATAAAATAATTATCAAATCATAAATATTATGAAAATAATGAAATCACGACATATAATATGAAAATACTAAATATAATACAAATGGATAAATTGACATCATAAACATTACAAGTAATAAAAACATTTGTTTTATAAAAATAATAAAAACACTATTAAAAAGGTACAATAAACACAATAATATAAAATACTAAAAACAGTCATAATAAAATTATATTATATAAAAAAAATATAATACAATTTTTTTTAAAATAACATATTTAAATAATAATAATATTATTGAAAGAATACAAATTATTAACTGAAAGAATATTAAATTACAAATAAATTATTAACAACTCTACAAACTTAGATAAGACTTTGAATATATCGAATCATTAGTTTGACCACTTAACACTATAAAACCTTATATTTAGTTAACTAGATAAAAAGAATTATATTTCTTTTTGAAAATTTTAGAATTTCTTTTGTTTCAAAGGAAACAAACTACAAAACTAAATACAATATTTCAATTATCTAAGTTATTTAATTTATTAAGTTGCACATTAAAAATCAGCTACCTAATAAGTATCAAATTGACAAAATTTACTTCTATCTCTTTCATTAATTAAAAAAAAATTATACAATTTAAAAACAATCTCACAATCATTTAACACATGCATCACAAATTCAAAGTCCAAATCACAATAATTACAACTAATCACATTGAGATGTATCTTTAATTTTTGTCTTCATCAAAGAAGTCTATTATAAATCTCTTTCCATAGAAATATTCTTATCTTTTAAAGATTTAACAATTTTTGTATTGAATTAAAAATATCACGCTGGTTCAAAAATTTATCAGATTTTTTTATCAATTAATTCAACTTAAAGAGACCAATTAATTGAATCTTCACTTGTATTAATACAAGTAAGAATAATATCAATTATCAAATTACAAATAGCCTAAGGAAGAAAAGGACTAATCTTATTCCGATCTCACATTCTATTTGTTTAACCGGTAAAACAAGCAACAAGGAGATCTAAAAGTATTTTTAAAATTTCACATTCTTTAAAATCATACAATACAAATATTTTTTTTAAAATAATACATATAAATAATACTACTATTGAAGGAATACAAACTATTAATGGATACAAGATTGTATCTAAAATATATTTTAAAATCATTTTATATAAAGGTAGATAAAAAAAAACTTGGAAGGAGACAAATAATAAAAAATATTTATTATGAAACATTCATTAAAAAATAAAAAAAATAAAACGAGTCACTAAACAAAAACCGCAATCATTTTGAGGCTTAACTATTATTTGGGTCATTCAAGTATCGATTTGACATTAATTTCATTCTACAAATAGTTTGTCGTATTTGTACATATTGTATAAACACAGTTATTTTATTTTTAATCTCTAATATTCTTATTTGATATCACAAATATTTAAAGAATAAATTTAATATTAAAAAAATTGTATAAAAATTAGAAAAATATACACATGCATAATGAACAAGTGCAAAATACGTTGATAAACTTAAAAAAAAAACAAATTGCTAATTTTTTTTATTGTTAGGAAAGAGTTTAAATATATAATGATGGATGAGATGAAATAAAATAGCATGGAATAAAATAAAATTTTGATAATATTATTTGACTATTTTATGATTAAATAAAATAAAAAATTGTTTCATGGTTCAACATTTGCATAGAATAATAAAAACTCACTGAATTTACTCTAATAAATAACATAGTAATTTGGTTTGATCTCATAATTTGGATAGGAAAATAATACATTTTGTCATTCTTTTATTATTATCTCTCGTGTGATTATTAACATATAATATATATATATAAACCGCATTCATTCATAAATAACCCGTGCTGACTATTAAATATGATTTTGTAATATAATGTGTATGCTTATTTCAAAGGATCATATCGCCACGCTAACAAATATTTTTTAGAAATTCGATAATAAATAAATAAATAAATAAATACAGTTTATTAAAAATTACAGTGATAGTTATATTAATAATACTAATTTTTTTTTCTTGTGTACATTGAATTTATAAAATACATAAATTAAAACATAATTAATATTATCATTTATATTAAAATCATTTTTAATTTCTTAAAATCACTTTCTCTATTGTCATTAATTTTTAAATGATCAAACATTTATAAATAATTTTTTCTAAATTTTTTTTAAATTCTCGAACTAATACCTTAATTTACGTTCTCTTATTCTTAAAGGTTGAAACCGATTTTTTTTCTTTTTTCTTTCTCTTTGGCTATGTTTTAGTAATTTTCCTCTCCACGACAATAAATGCAACAAATGAATATAGAAGGGAAATCTTCAATATATAGAAGCAAAATAAGGATGGGAGCTGGCTTAGCTTGCTTTCATCTAATCTATGATACGAATCACTGTCAATGTGATCATATATATATATATATATATATATAAGAAACATTAGAAATGTAGTAGTACATCGACTTCAAAGAATATAACCACACTTAGATGGCCACTGTGACATGCAATACTTAATTAATGTATATGGCCTTAAGAATTATACTTTGACTGAAGACTTAATTTTCTTTTACTGTGTGTGTGGAACTTGACACTGGCCTTAGGCCATGTTTGTGTGCTGCTTCCCACACAAGATCGATTCTGTTAACATCTATGGCCCCAACTTCGTGTTGAGACCAACCTTCAAGGCTATGTACCACCCCTCCTGCATGGCACGCGTGAACAACACCCCTTTCCATCGTGTACTGAAGAACAAGACAAAAATCATGAACAATTAACGGAGACATCAAAAAATGAATGAGAAAGGTATTGGTGAAGTTGATTGATTACCTCACAGCAGCCAAGCCCTTCCACATCTTCTGGTAATCTCATGGCGGCTAGATCACCATAAGTACAATCTTTTCTGAATGATAAAATGGGTGGGACAACAAATTGATGAAAATGGGTTCCACGTGGCGCCCAGTATTGCTCTCTTGGTGTGATCCATTTACCAACAATCCACGTCTGGATTAAGACACGAGATCACGATGCAATTACTATAAATTTAAATTATCATAACCATAATAAAATTTCCAAAGTTTGTCATGCACATGTTATACATAAGTTAATCATCAGAACTAACACGTGATGGATTATTTATTTGAAGTTAGTATAAGTAAGAAATCACGTTATACTCGGGGGAAGGATATTGGCATATATATATATATGTTAGTACCTTGCAGTTTTGTGCTGCTTGGTATTTTGTCACTTGAACAAGATAGCTTTGGTATTCAAGAGGGGCTTCCTTTTGAATCCTCTGGAATCTGTCTGTTGAAAGAGTTAACATCTGCAAAAGTAGCTCTCGGCCCATTAGTAATTGTGATTAAATAAATCAAAGTATCATGACACTTCTGCATCATGAGAATTAATCATTGTTATCGGCATATAGATCTAACAACGAGTTAATTAGTATACATATAGATATTTTACAGTTCACAATGTCTCTCATTAAATTATAATCATTGAATAAAAGGGTCCTCCTGCATACCCCACTAGCAATTAAACAATGAAAGATAACATTTCCCAGCACTACAATTTCATGTCATCTAGTATATTCGTATATCCAAAATTAAATATACAGCACTACAATTTCATGTCATCTAGTATATTCTTATATCCAAAATTAAATATAATGAACTGCTACCTAATGGAGCTAAATACAGGTGGAGGCAAGAGAGGACACGCATTCTGCTGACTTTCTTTCTTTCTTTGGAATCCTATCTCTCACTCTGTTTTACTTCGTTCTTTTTTTTTATGTGCCCCTGCTCAATTTTTATCCTATCACCACCATGGCCATGACTATTCACTAATTCAATCAAGCACTTGAAAGTAAAGTTCTCATGGTTAATGATTATTTTTTTAAAGTTAGTTCCTTTTATCAATAGGAAACAAAAATAAATTAAACCTCCCTCATACCATTTTTACCTTTGCAAGTTGGAACTACGGGCATAGCTTATTAGCCGGTTATAGTTTAACTTAATTAATTTTGTAAGCCAAGAAATTGATGGTAGGAAAAGGAAGGAGATGTATAATCAATAATTTAGTGAAAATGGTGAAAAGTGGGGACTATGATAAAATTTACCAGAACTCTGACTTTCTTTTGGCAAAGATAGAGTGCAATTGCTCTTCCAAGCTTGGAAGTAGCTCCTGTTAGGAACACCTCTTTCACATCTCGAGGGATCTCATTAAGTATGACAGCAGCAGTTAAAGTATTCCCATGAACAACTCGGACCCTAAGATTTGGGTGCTTGTCCACAAAAAGCTTTCCACCCCCGTTAAGGGATTCATTCTGTATTCAGTGAATAATAAGATTTGAAATTAATGCAAGCGTCAACCAAGCCTAACATTGATAATGTTATGCCAACCCTTTATGGAGAGTAATTGATAGCATGTGTTTCTTTGTAAGTTAGTTAATATAACAAATTTCTGATATTTTTTACTAAGCTAAATGTATGATAAAATCATTGATCTGTCATATACTTTGGTCAAGTGTTTCATTAGATAACTGATTATTGTAATCATACAATACACTATGGACTTATAATACTGAAGAAAAGTGGACTCAGTCAATACGGAAGCGAGAAACTATAATGCCAGACAAACTCGAGTACATGTTTGGTATTGCTTATTTTCAGAGAAATAATTGCTTACTTTTTCAAAAATCTCTCAAGAAAACAAAAAATACAAAATAAAACAATTATTTCTTTAAAGTAAGTTGAACCAAACACGCATGAAAAGGTGTCAAGGATATTGAAATCCTGAACGGATGATCATGTGCCAGAATGATTCTGTTATTTTTCATTTGATGTATAACTAGACCAAAAATGGGAAGCCATACTTCATCAGTTTCAGAAGTTACAAAGTGACCCACCATTTCCATGCAGCAATTATGATGCACCATATCATATCGATAGTTTTGTCAGGTATGAGAGATCCACCTTACAAAGCATTCAAACCTTCACCAACTATGCTCAGAGAACGCCAGGTTTCAATTAATTAATCAAGTTCGTTTTATTATACTTGTCAAATTAAATAGCAAGAGAAGAAGTTCAATGTGTCAGACCTTATTCAATGCAGCAAGGCTTATGACTTGAACCCCAATTTTATCAGCCCTGAGGATAGCTAGTTCAATTTGTTTATTGATTCCCTCAGCAGCAAATGGCAAGAAATACTGTAAGAATATTGAAAAAGAAGGGGAGAAAAAATCAATACTTGCTAAATTTTATTCTTTTTTATCATTGTGGAAAAAAAAAATGAATACAAATTTGTGACTAATGAATGTACGATGGACCCACCTGAAAGCCACATCTAGGAACAACCCATGTTTGGTGCAATCTACCTCTGAGGTAGTAGAAACTAACCAAAAAGGTCTTGGACCAAACCCACATTGCTAGCAGAACTACAAAAGCAATGGGCAATGCTGGGACCAAGAAAAACCTTGTTGTGTATGGCAATGAAGCAAAGGATCTCAGGACAAATTGAACATGCATACAAGATGATACATCAACTACATGGGCCAGGAAAACAAAATGCGGTACCTTGTCACCATTTCCTGCATTCATACAAAAGATACTTTATCATAGACATGAATGAATATTAACACTTCCGCAAAAAGTGAGAATCTGTAACTAATGGTAAAAATTTTACATCAAAACTCAGAATGCAGCTTCTGTGAAGTGCTATTCTCAATGTTAAGTAGCCATCAAGCGTTTAAGTTAAAATGAAATATATTATTTGAATGAAGCAATTAAATCATAGGACAGCTTACCTGAACCTGAACTTAATGTTTTGTGTAATTGCCATGATTTTTTATTGAGGGTATTGCCTAGTTCGTCAAAGAGAGGCATAAAGAGGCAGAAATTAGTGTCCTTATCAGTGTGGTGTAGATTGTGATATCTGCATAGCATAGAGAGCAAGTGAATATTATGTGCAACTACATGGGAAATGGACGTGAATAAGATAAGGTTTGGAATCACAGTTGAACTTGTGCGTGGACCACTATATAGAAAATGCAATGCATGTCCACTTATGTCATTCTCTTGGCAGTTGCAACAGCATGAAAGAAAGCCAAATAAATTATGCGGCTGAAATTTAAACAAGCTTCAAGACAAAAATCTTTTGCAGTTTATCCCTCGAATAAATTAAGTCTCCAACTTGGCAAAAGTTCAATTTTCGTGGACCATGCACTTGTTTGCTTGAACTTCTCTCTTCACAAGAGAGAACCATAGACTGTTAGCTTTAGGCCTTTTTTCATCTCCCTATGACGAGGGAGAGAAATAAAAGCATTTAGAATTATTCTTTGAATAAACACTAATGTTTGAAAGTTTATAAAAAAGGGAAAAGGAAATAAGGATTTTCATGTAATTATCTAAAATTTCAAAGTTGATATAATTAAAATTAATTTTAATAGAGTTTAAACATCCACATAAAAGGAAGAAAACCATTTCCCCAGAAAAATAAAATAAAAATTAGCCATCCCCTGATTTTCTTCCAACTCCATTTTCCCTGACTTGTTGTTTCCTTCTCTATCTCTTCCAACATCTAAATATGCCCTAAAGTACCTAAATTGTCACAGCTATTTAGGCATGGTTCATTTGCATTTAGGTCACAGAGTAAATGGTTTTCACATGTCTTCTTAAAAAGCTGACAGAAATCAATGCGGGCTTTCTTATGTAAATTGACAACTAAATATGAGACAAAACTCGTGTGCTATTTGTTCGATATTGTCTTATATATTTATTAATTAAAATTATATTATTATTTTAATAAAATATTTATATTTAATATTATTATAAATTATCGAAATAAAACTCTAATTTTGATTAATAAACAGCACTAATTACACTTAAAAAAAATTGAACCTAAGTTTTGTGCTTAAACATGTAATGCCTATAACCGAGAGTTATATTTGTAACTCAAGGATGCGTCAGCTCTAGATCAACTTACGTGGGTGTGTATATCACATATCTAAGAAATGGGAATGCCTCGAACAGCTGATGCGGAACCATTTCAACATTGCAATGGCCCAAGCATCTCAGAAAATCAAAAGTCAAAACATAACCATATATCAAGCTTGTTGATCCATATCCCATCATAGAGGCCCCAAGGATAGGGATTCCAATGACCAACGTCAAAATAAGATGCTCCAAAAGCGTTGCATGTCCAGCTGCAGCAAAACAAGTCATTTTTCAATCACCAATACAAGATTAACAAGTAGTTCGAAATATGAAGTTTGAACATAATAATTAATAAACATCTCTGAAACTAATATTCCTTTCGAACAATCACTTCCAAAATCAGACATTATGAAACGAGGCTTACAATGAAGATGGGTTGTCTATGATGCTCACCAGTAAAAGACTCGGGTACTGGAGATGAATGATGAAGTGAATGATAATGGGTGAAAAGATAGTTTCCATGGAACCTCCTATGCACCCAGTAAAAAAGTGGCTCGGAGATTCCAACATGGAGCATCAGAGCAACAATAAGACCTTTTACATTCCAGAGAGGAAGATGTTGAAGAAAGGGAAACATTAAGCAGGCCATGGAGGCAACTAGTGCTTGAAGAATCAAGAAATTGTCCCTGTTTGAAAAAATAAATAAAAAATATTAGGAGACACATTAATCATACAAACCATCTATGTATGAAACCATTTTCATCATAATGTGACTTAATTTTAAAAATAAAAAACCAAGAGAGAAACAAATCAATTTCCAATTTTTACCAGTCCCATTCTTTGTCAACCTGCTTGAAATCAACCCCCTCTTGAACAATCCGTCGATTTCTTGTAAGAAAAAGCATGTGACTATAGGAACCCCAAAGCACATGAATTAGACCTCTGAGACCACATAGTACAAGCAAATGAAGGCACCAGCTCAGCTTGAAGTGTTCCTCATCATAGAACCATCCATACAGGACTTTCGCCACAAATGGCCCATATAATAGATACTACACATCCATATTGAAAAATAATTTAAGATCACATAAATAAACCATGTCAGCACCAGTAAAATTATCATAATAAAGAAAGAAGCATTAATATCATAACATAGTTAGATTTTCTGCACCTTGAACATTCCAAAGTTCTCCCATGGCCAAGCTGACAAAGGAGTACCCATTTCTCTGCACTATATAGTATCTAAGATATTCAAATAAAAATCTCGTATACTATATATTATTCGTTTCAACTTTTCCCTTGTCAAATGTAAATGCTGAACACTAATACCTTTTTACTAGGCACTAAATACTTTTTCTCCCTATTTTTTCTGTATTTTCTAATCACAATAGAATCCAAAAATCGATGACAGCAAAGAACAGCAACCGGGAGGATCCCAATACCCCAAAAGAATATCAGAAAGGAAGAACGACCAATGGTTTAAGAGGTTCGTTTCTGCAATGAAACTGTTCCTTTATCCTCTTTTAATTGGTAACTCTACCTTTGAGTTTGAGCCACGACTTGAAGAAATTAATCTCGCGTCCCATCACGTATTTATAAGCGCCCTATGATGCACTATACTCCCACTTGTCTTCTTCTCACGATATAAAATTATTAATTAATAAATTATTGTTATTATTATATATAAATACGCGGCATTAATAAATCCTACTTAAACACGAATTTTATTATAATCACTTTTGTATTCATTGCCGTCGTGACATTATCATAACAATATCATTTCTAATTCATTTCACTTTTCATGCAATAGAGTACTCGGAACTCAGAGAACAATCTGGAAACTGTATCCATTTGGTGATTCTTGGGTACGTTTGTGTAAGATGTTGGAAGTTAGATAACGTTCTTTCAATGCTAAATACTTTTCTGGATAATACTTTATTATTAATTAGATTATAATTATAATTAGGACCTTAGAAAATTAAAATATACGTAAATGACAAGACACACCACGCGTTATGATGCTGTATACTGTAATGCAGCAGATCTGGAGTGCAGTAAATGCCTTATATGGTTGGCAGGTGACACAGTACCTCACAGATCTTAGATAAGGGTAGGTTTGGCGTTGCTCAAAATTCTGTTTTCATGATAAGAGCGTTGTAAAGTAAATTTTATTTAATTTAAGGATAACTATAATAATTTCAGTTCAAATTATCTTTTACTTTAACAAACTTAGGTTGTTTTAAAATATTTATTATTTAAAAAAATTTATTGACTTTTTACAAAAATTTCCTTATTCGTTTATATCTTACTTGTATATTTAATTAATTTATAAATAAACTTCAACTCTTTTAATAAAAAAATAGTCTAAAAAATTATTTTATTATCGTATTTGATGTTTTTAGAGATTTTCTTGAAATATGTGCATTATATTAAACAAAATAACTTAAAATGGAAAGATTTTTTTTTTTATATTTAAACTATAATCTATAGGCTTAATTTATTTTAATTTTTTTTTTAAAAAAATTATTTATTTCCATAAAAATCAACCATATTAAACGTACCTCATTGTGATATATCAATCTAATGAAAATATTAATTTGAGTAATCCAGCCATTTTAATTTGAATATTCATTCTTAAAGATAAAATTATTTTATATGAATTTTGTTAGCTTCAATTCTTAAAATTGAGTTTAAATATTTAAAAGAAAATTATTTTTATTAAGAAATGACATGCTTATTATTTTAAAACGGTAGAATTATAATATTTTTAATTAAAAGTTTACTATAATTAATTGCTTAAATTCATGTCTTAAAAAAAATCCATGTAACCACATGTCTTTCTTGTTTTTAATATATGTCTTATAAGTTTTTACATCAAATAAAATTAATATTTTTGTATTTAATAGATTATTTAGTTAAAGAATATATCAAGTCAAATTAAAAAAAATTAATAAATTTATAAATACATTTGAACTCTTTTCATGGAAATATTTTAGGCAAAAAAGAGTATTTTATCACTGTGTTTAATATTATTAATAACTTTCTAAAAGTATATGCATGGACTTAAATAAACATAATTTAAAATGGAGTGAGTATTTACCTTCCATTGAATTCAAAATACGATCTCCAAGTTTAGTTTTAAATATTTAAAAACATCATTTACTTTCTTACTTAAAAATAAACTTATTAAAAGTATCTCATTATATTGGTTCCATGATATAATAAAATAATAATAATTTAATTTGTGTAATTCAACTGTATATTAACTTATGTTCAAATATTCATCGCACAATGACTTTCTATGTATTTTTCTCACAAGTCAACACATGTCTTATAAAATTCTATACAAAATAAAAATAATTTTTGAACCTCCCATGTAGATCAAGTGATAGAATGCCACTCATCCCTCCCTTTATGACAAAAATACAAATCAATTCATTCTATTTAATACATTTTTCAATAAAAAAAATCATTTTTTGTTGTTTTTATCGTAATCAATGCTTAAATTTTCTTCGATTAACATTAAATTACTGAGATGTTTAAAATAACAATTAAAGCTACTTTCAAAAGTCAAATTAATTTTTTAATTGTTTAAAATAAAAAGTTTCAAACAACTTAATTTATACTTTTTTATTTATCTTTCGTTGAATGTGTTTCTCTAACACATACATGTATATATACTGGGAGAGGGGGAGATGAATCCAGTAAAAAATATAAATTTAAAAATCATAAGAACTATAAATTCAAAAGAATACGTTGATTTTTTATTATTATTTTCAACTATTTAAATATACTTCAATAATTTTTATTTTTTTACCGTAACTAAATATTCTTATTTGAGTTACTCCCTGTATATATGTTCATATATATTATGTCATAGTTTAACATTTGCGTTCTTAACTGGTGTTGTGTATTGAGAGGAAGACAATAAAAAAAATTGAAAGAATTTTCTTATTTGTTTGAAGAAGAGAGAGAAGAGTCATTAAAAGAAAAAAAAATCCTTCATTTTTTTTTAATTTTTGAGTTTTTTTCTTATTTTCTGTTATCTCCTTTAATTAATAAAAAATATATTGTTGTTCGTAATTTTTATTAAAAATTAATTTAAACATGTTTAATTTGCCTCCCCATAACATCGGTCATTCAATGTCGCCATTAAATATTACCAGAAGCGTTAAAAACATCTTCCGATTATAACATTAAAACAAACTATAAGTTAACACTAGATGACTTAATTTCTCAGAAAAAAAAATTTACGTGTAGTAATAAAACTAATTTTTTATTGTTCTCTGATTAAAATTTGTTGCTGATATTTCATAAAACAGAAGTTAACGTTAAAAGATACATTTTATTTAAATAAAAACATAATATTAGCTAAAAATAATATAAAATAAATATATACTATTATACTTAAAATTTGTGATTTGTGTGAATCTTTAATTTCTTATATAAATTAAAAGAGTCATTTTATTTGAATTTAAATTATTAAAATATATCAAATTATCTTAAAATTAAATAAAATTTATATTTTATTCTTAATTTTCGTCCTCAAAAAATGAAAAAAAATTGAAATTGAATGGTAAATTAGAAAATGTCATCCTCTTAGCAATTTTCTCGATGATTAATAGATAAAATATTAAATAATTTTTTATAATTTTAAAGTATTATATATATATATATATTTTTTAAAAACACTATGCTTGTTGATTGAGATACGTGGCTCTTTTCCATTTCAAACTAATATCACATATTTTTACATGATACTTATACAGCGCAGATACATGATAGATATCGCCTTCATAAAATGCAACATTGAATTTTAAATATATATATATATATATATATATATATATATATAATTCTTACTTTTTTTTATATTTGTGTATATACATATCAATGTCATAGCAAAATACAAATAAAAATAGTATCACACATGATGCAATACACATTGTGATGTGAAAGAAAAAAGCTTTAGATTGATAAATAGTTTTTAAGAAAGTCTAATTTAATAAATAACTTTTAAAAATGTTTGTTAATAAAAAAAATATTACAAATTAAACATAAAATCACATACAATGACAATTTATGAATAAGGTTACAATTAATTAAGTATACATATTTTTTTTCATATAATATGTTTGTTTTATTTGTTATATACTCACCCAAAACAAGAATGTCATAGAGTTGTTTCGTCCTACTAATCCAGTTTAGTTCAATGTTAATTTTAATCAATTTGAGTTGTAACAAAATTTACACGTAACTGTTGTGGTTGTTTAAATCCAACTTGATATTTCAGAGGTTTTTTAAAATCTATTTAAAAAACACGTTTTAATGATGTAATTTATTCATTCAATCAATACTATTTTGTATCACGTGATATTATATTTATATTATGTTATTTATTTTTAAATGTATATTATGCAATATATTTTAACTTTTCCAACTATGCAGGGGGTACACGTTTGTTTTTCTTTTAAGTCACAAACTCGAGTACTGTATATAAAAATATCCTTAAAAAACTAACTTTATTATATTACAAACAAATTTTATCGGAATAGATTAATTTTTATAAAATACAGCTATGATTAATAGATAGGTTTTTCTTAACCTCAATCTTAAAAAGTTGAGTTTAAATATTTACAAATAAAAATTTTATAAAAAAAATACATAGTTATTATATTAAATTTATAAAAATATAATAAATATTTTTTTGTTATAATAAAATTTTATTGTTATTAACTACTTATTTTCAATTTTAAGAATTAAAGTTAACAAAATTTTTAATTAAATTTTTTAATTATAATTTAATAAATTTTTTTAATTCTATAAATAAAACATATATATTAGAAAAAATCTCATAAGTCAACAAATTAAGTTAACCAAGTCTCACTCCATGAACAATGCAGTGTTGGTTGAGATTAATTAAAGTCCAAACAAAACCTTACGGAATTAATCTCAGCGTGTCTTATAAAGTCTAAACACCTTTAACACAAATTTTTAACAAACTTTCTAATGTAAATGTCAGATATACAAGCTTAATTTAATTTATTTACACGATCAAATCAAAATCTAAACCTAAATTCATTAATTTTAAATAATTTTATCAAATTAAATTATTAAAAATAAGGGAATATTTATTAAAATTCAAATTATTCATTTACATTTTACTTACAACTTTTTTAAATATTTTTAAAAAATTATATAAATTTGAAAAGATTTTAAGTTTCATATAATAGAGATTTTAAAATATCAATAAAAAGGCAAGTTAAAAGTTGATTTTAAAAAAATGAAGCACACGTGAATATTAGTTACAAACAGTAGGTGGATATGAATAGAGAAGTATCCTGAAAAGTACTTTTGGAGGAAAGAGAGAGAAGAGAGAAGGATGCAGTGGCAATGGCAATGGGAAAGGCATGGGATTGGGAACTCTGTTTCTGGTTGACAGGTGAGAATGGTCCAAATGCATGACAGAGTTCGGAACATTTGACTTGGATTCGGTGCCGCCTAATAATGAAGTTAGAGGAAAGTTATGGGTCATGTCTACCATCGACATGGTTGTTGTTCTGTCCG